CCTTCTCCCTAGCCTTGCAAGAGTGTGACACCCAAGGGAGAGCGTGGGTAGGAGTAGCTTTAATGAGGAAGGAAAAGCAGGCCAATTCCCTTGGCTGTGTGGGAAGAAAGGGAGGCCTGGGCATTGTCTGGGCCAGAGAAGCAGCAGCTTCTGACACTGATAAATGATTCAATTGAAAAAATAAATGAAGAACCTCCAACACCAGGGCTATGTTATTAAACTGTGTGCCCGGACAAGGGACTCTGTAGGCGTGAGTCCTTAGATCTTGTCTACAGAAGAGTATTTGTTGACAATCAGACAACTTAATTAGAATAGACTCACTTAGGGGTGCCTATGTGTTAAATGTCAGTCTGTTAAATGTCCACCTTCAGCTCAGGTCATGATCTCTTGGTTTGTGGATTCGAGCCCCACGTCCAGCTCTCTACTGACAGCTCAGAGCCTAGGGCCTGCTTTGGATTCTGTGTCTCCCTTTCTCTCTGCCCCTCCCTCCCCCTCTCATGCTCTGTCTCTTTCTGTCTCAAAAATAAACAATAAAGGAAAAAAAAGAACATAAGACTCACTTGGCCTTATGTTACCTTAAGCCCTGAGAACGTGACCACAAGTTAGAACCATAGTTTAATCTTACCTTACAGAGAATGACATAAAGAAATAGAAGGGAAAATATGCTTATGTAGTTGTAGATTGTGGAATTTTTGAATCTGTTTTCCATGTAATGCATAATTCAAGGCTGAATTACTGAAATGTTAATTTTCAGAGGAACATGAAACAAATTTCAGATGCAGTGAAATCTGAGCTTTGCTGTAAGAATTTCTAATTTAAAACATCTTTGTGATTTACATAGGATGACGATGTTAAGGAAATTTTATTTATTTTGTGGGGAAAAACTACTCTGTGGCATCTTATACATGAACAGTTTCTCTCCAGAGCCTTTTACCTTTTTGATTCAGGCAGAATTTTAGATGGAATTCAGTATGGTTATTCTAACCATAATCATAAACCAAATGATTTATGAACTTTAATAATCATGGAGAAAAATTAAGAATTTTAATAATTGGAAAAGAAGAAAGTTATTTAAATCAACCTTTCAGTTTATTTGCTTAAATGAGCTCATCTGTTTAAGCCATTATTGTATAATTTGAACTTTCTGCCACTCAGATATCGAAAAAATTTCTTCTGGGACTCTTTTATTTCATTTTTGAAAAATGTTTATTGCTTTGGCTGGGTAAATGCAGTCTAGGAGTGAAGGCTGAATTCTTTCATTCTCTCTCTTGTTCTGAAAGAAGAAGCAGTTGTGGGTTTAACCTGATGTGCTTTGTTTCTTAAATATTTGGGAAAAGAATACCTTTCCCTGCTACTTTTTTGCTATTTCCAGATACCCTGCACGGTTGTGTTGTCTCATAACCATCAGTTACTGCAGCAGGCTTTGTATTACCTTCAGAGGGGAAAGCCTTCTGGGTGAGAAATGAGCCTTGCCTTAGCTCAGGGCTTTGCATGCTTGCAGAGAAGGACTCATAGAGCAGAGCTCTAAAGCAGACAGCTGAAAACAGGAGATGTCTGTGGAGTTCTGTGTTTAATCTCTGTAGTTTTTCATTGTACATCATAACAGATTGCTTCGTGTTTACAAAAGAATGGTTTCTTCTCCATTTGCTCCCCTCCAACCTCAGTAAGTTGATGTTCTAGAGATAGGTTCTAGGTTTATTTTGTGGCTCTTTGTGCCCCCAGCAAGCCAGTAAGTACCCCCAAGGTATATACTTACTCATTTAGAAAAACATGGCCATAGGGGATTCAGAGCCTCCTAATGGCAGCTTTTAGTGCTGTAGGCTTTAGATTGATCTGGGTCTGGATCTGTCCAGGTTAATCACATGTCTGGTTTTGGATATTCTCTCTAAATTATCTGCCATCTTAGGACACATGATTCTGGGCCTTGCTGTTCTCTCTTAGTACTATCCACTTCTTTGTATCACTTGACCAGCACTTTGTTCTTCCATTTGCTAAGCCGTCCACTTTGTCCTTAAGCCTTCCAATAGGATTTACTTTCTGCAGTGTTTCTGTAGATGGCTTCAGTGCTTTTCTTCTAACTCTGTTGGCTTTTTATTTTTTCTGTTAGAGTTCAGCCTTCTCCATCTTTCAGCATTTCCACTGATGGTGCAACCATTTTTCTCAGGCCATTGAGGGCAGGTGATGCTGGGGTAGCAGTACCTAAGTGGTTTCCAGCAACAGACTTTGTTTCTCACTCATGAAAATGTGAACGGCAGTTGTGCTCCAAGTTCTCTTCACTCTGTGACCCAGTCTGGAGAAGCAGCCCATATCTAGAATGTTACAGGACTTGGGGTAGAGGGGAAAGAAATGGTAGGACTGTGTGATGACTGTGACACTTGCTCAGGAGTGGGACATGCCACTTCAACTCCCGATGAATTGGAATCATGTCTCACAGCCAAGGCCAATGTTGATGGGCTGGATCTGATCAGGTCTGGTAAAGAGGTATAGATTCGACAGTAATGCAGTCTCCCACAGCCTTATCTTTTCAGCTTATATACTCAAGAATCTGACACAGTACTTGTCATATAATAGATATTAAGCATGGGAAAGACCTACTTCTTTCTTCCCCAAATTCTTTTTGTGGTGATGTTAGGTATGTTGGCCTATCTGCACCTGTTTCTTCTCTGGATCCTTTTTATCCTCTACAGTTACGCACGTGTTGATTGATCATCAGTATTTTCTATTCATTCTCCTCATCCATTCCCTATAGTTTTCCACTCTATACTTTGGTGTTTTGGAAATCCAGAATGGCCTTTTGTTTGTTTGTTTTTGGTTTTGGTTTTGTTTTTATCTAGCTTATGACAGTTTGCTTTCAGATGATGTTTCTTAGTGGTTCAACCAGAGAAGGGAAACAGAGTTTTGATTTTAAACCATGTTGAGACACCAGGCATACTATACCATACAGGAAAGTATTCTCATTCAGAAGCCCTTCTTGTATCCAGCCATTGTCTTAAACACTCCTTTTCAGAGTTTCTTTGTATTGATTACTATCTATCTTTAAATGTAATGGCCATTTTGTCTTTACTTCGTACTCCCAAATACTTTGAATGGTTATTGCAGAGCTAAATGTAACCTGCTTTGCAATGCAATTTTTATTTCAATACTTTGGTTTCTCCACTAGATTGCAAGTTATTGAAGCATTAGGTTTTTTCCCTTCGTACTTCTTCCCCCACATTTTGTGGGTTTTTTTTTTTTTTGTTTTTTGTTTTTTGTTTTTTTTTGCTAAACGCTAACACATGCTTGCTGAATTGAATGTGACTATGATAGTTGCTATATTTTTAACTATCAAGTTAGACTTAAAATGTGATTGCTGTTTTATTAATTATCAAGGTGGAGTCATTCTGTGTGCTAGCTCTTTGCAAGTTGGTTAAGTGATTTTGTGGTTTAAATGCGTATTTAAAATTTTTTTTAATGTTTATTTATTTTTGAGAGAGAGAGACAGAGTGCTAGCAGGGGAGGGGCAGAGAGAGAGGGAGACACAGAATCTGAAACAGGCTCCAGGTTCTGAGCTGTCAGCACATACCCTGACGTGGGGCTCAACTCGGGTATGGCAAGATCATGATTTGAGCCGAAGTCAGACATTCAACCTACTGAGCCACCCAGGTGCCCCGGTTTAAATGCATATTTTAAAAATATTTTCAATTGCAGTGACCTAGCATCTCCCTATTATGAGCTCACTGGATTTCGTTGCTACTGCCAGCAAGGGCGACTGTTTGTGTGAGGGCTTTCACCTGCACCACACCCACTACCCCCAACAAGGAACAGCCCTCAGCTAACAACTGATGGGAGTTGGTGGTTGAATGTCCCACTTCCCTTGCTCCCCAGTTAGGATATCTAAGGGTTGTTTGACACTTCCTCTCAGAGCTCCTGGGGGCACTGAGGCTGTGATGCCCACTGTGGTAACTGCTTGATCGTGCACCCTGTGTTGGCTCTCCTCCTTCTTGCCTCATTTCTCCACTCCTTGCAATGTCATCTTAGTCTCAAGAGTTGCTAAGCCTAATCCAAACCAAAACAAAGATATTCATATATATATTAAAATATGTAATCCAAACCAAAACAAATATATATATATATGTAAAACAAATATATTCATATGTATATTAAAATTTATTATTTCAGAGTTTCTCTATTTTGGTAATGTCCAATAAGAATATAATGCAAACCACATAGGTAATTAAAAATTTTCTAGTGGCCACATCTTAAAAGTGAAAAGAAAGAGTGAAATTAATTTTAATAATACAGTTTATTGGGGCATGAGGGTGCCTCAGTCAGTTGAGCATCCGATTCTTGGTTTCAGCTCAGGTCATGATCCTGGAGAAGTGGAATCAAGCCCCGTGTTGCTTATGACTCTCTCTCTCTCTCTCTCTCTTCTTCTGCCCTTCTCCCCTGTTTGAGCTCCCTCTCCCTCTCGCTCTCGCTCTCGCTCTCTCTCAAAATAAAAAAAATACAGTTTATTTAACTCAGTATATTCAAAATATTACCAGTTTAACATGTAATTGGCATAAAACATATCCATTTGATTTTTTTGAAGGAAGTCTCTGAAATCTGGTGTTTTACACTTACAGCACATTTCTGTTTGGACCAGCCACGTAGCAAGCAGTCGCCACATGTACCTAATAGCTACTATATTGAACAGTGGTGATCAGTCTCCTATTGTTGTATTCCATGCATCAAAATTTAAGGACTTGCTAGTTCTTGAATAGACAGGAGGCTGTCTGGTGGGTACAGTTTCCTTTCTCAGCAAAATCTCCCTTGCCATTTCCTTTCCTTTTAAGCTGAATAAAATCCCTATAAATATCAACACTGACAGGCACCTTGTTTAGTCTGCATGTGTACATATTTATGCTCTTTCAAGAATGAACCTCTGGTAATAATAAACCCTGAGACTTATTGCCTCTCACATGTTTCCATGCAAACTGTAGACAAGATGCTTAGCCTCTCTGTGTTTGTATCTTTTTCAGGCAGAGGGTACCAGGCTTCAGCGAGAACTTCGAGGATATTTAGCAGCTATCAAAGGTAAATGTGTGTGAGTTGTTTACTGCATGTCCCCAAGCCCAGATTGTTCTTGACATTCACGAGTGGCAGGATTCAGTGTTAATTACAAAGCCAGTTGGCTTTCTGGCAAGATGGGTACTTGAGCACAGGTGTTCATTCCACCCACTCCCCAAATCCCATTGAAATGGTAATCAGAATATACAAGAAAAAAAAAAAAGATGTCTGCTGTGATGCTAGAAAGGAGGAAAAAGTGCCTCCCACACCAGAGATTTCTAGGAAGCATTGTGAGATAGCGTGGGCCTGAGGCCTCGTTTAAGAGAAGGTGCAGCCGGTTATATCCCAAGGGAGGGCATGTCCCAAGAGGAGCACATTCACTGACTCACTTACACCCTCTAGCTGGAAGGGGTAAGGGGTGGTGGCAGACGGAGGGATATCAGAAATCAGGGCCCTGGACCACCTGTGGCTTGTGGGGACCTGTGGCACTTGCAGCCCTGCCACTATGCGGAGACGGAGAGGCCGTGATGTTGGTTTCTGGTCTCAGCCATGCAAGGCAAAGGTATGAGGGGGGTGGTGGAGGAAGAGGGCGGCAGGGAGGTGTGCTCTGTCCCTGCCTGCTCTACGTCACCCAGCTGCCTGAGTCCGATCACGTGCGTCTGTCGATGTGATGGATCACAGGGCAGACTTCGAGATTAGTGGGGCAGAACGGATCGATCATCTGCCAGGGGTCTTGGATTAACTGGCTAAACTCTCAGAACAAAGTAAGATTCACACTCACAGCCTCACACTCTGCTCCGTCGTTCTCACCTGCAGATCTAGTAAGGAGTTAAATATGTATACGAGGAGATGTTCTAAAGGACTAGAATAAAATAGTCCCTAGTCTTGGGTGACAAGGTCTTTACAAGGGTAACCCAAAACACAGAAACCATAAAGGGAATGGTTGAGAGATTTGACCTCACGAATATGTCAGACTTCCATATCCGCTTAAAAAATTATTTCGACAATATATTTAATGAAAGTGAACCAAAGTATTAAGAGCTCAGTAGGTAAATTACATGATTGTCAGCTGATTAAAAGAAAAAAATAGGTAGAACGTATGAAGAGAAAATTAGCCAGAGAAGAACTGGTAGGTGGGTAATAAGTGTGAAAAAAGCGTTTCTCCTCATGGATGGATAATCAAAGAATATTAAATGAAATCAGAAGGGGGATGCTACCATTTTTCCTTCAAATGTTCAAAGACATTGAAATACAAAAGCACAGGATAATATATAGCATTGGAAAAGCTGGGGGGAGCAGGCTCCTTGTATATGCTTCTAGTAGGACAGCGTTTCTGGACAACAATCTGGCAAAAGCCTCAGCATGTGTATTGGGGGTGGGGTGGGGAGGACATGCCTTTTGTCACAGCGGTTCTGGTTGCAAGGATTTATTCTACCAGCTTCATTGTAGATGTGTGAAATTGATTACAAAGAGAGTGGTAAGTAATTAAATGATAATATTAACTGTCTTAATTAACAATTAGTCATAATAATTAGTGAAATTGATTTTTTTGTAAAGTTTACATACTTATTTGGGAGGGGGCAGAGGGAGATGGGGAGAGAGAATCCCAAGCAGGCTCTGTGCGGTCAGCAAAGCAGGATGGGTACTTGATGTCTCACAACCGTGAGATTGTGACCTGAGCCCAACAAATCAAGAGTTGGACACTTAACCTACTAAGCCACCCAGGCACCCCATGAAATTGATTTGTAAAACTAAAATGTATTTAAGCTTTTATAGGCCGGGCATATACTTTTAATTCTCATGACAACTCTGAGGCAGGTATTTGAATCACCATCAAGTTACAGATAAGAAAAGAGAGGATCAGAGAGGTTAAATAGCTCATCCAAGGTCACGAGCTGGTACACAACAGGGCCAGGATACGTTCTCTGGTCCACATGTCTCCTAAGGCATTGCCTTTTTTTTTTTTTTTTAATTGAAATATAACTAACGGGTGCCTGGGTGGCTCAGTCAGTTAAGCGACTGACATCGGCTCAGGTCATCTCACGGTTCATGGGTTCAAGCCCCGCATCAGGCTCTGTGCTGACAGCTCAGAGCCTGGAGCTGCTTCGGATTCTGTGTCTCCCTCTCTCTCTGACCCTCCCCTGCTTGCGCTGTCTCTCTCTCCCTCAGAAATAAATTAAAAAAGAAAAAAAAACAGACATTAAAAAAAGTAAAAAAAAAAACCTAACATACAGTGTCATTAATTTCAGTTATACAATATAGTGATTCAGCAATTTTTGGGGCACCTGGGTGGCTCAGTTGGTTAAGTGGCCAACTTTGGCTCAGGTCATGATCTCATAGTCTGTGAGTTCGAACCCTGCGTCGGGCTCTGTGCTGACAGCTCAGAGCCTGGAGCTGCTTCCGATTCTGTGTCTCCCTCTCTCTCTGCCCCTCCCCCACTTGTCCTCTATCTATCTCTCAAAAATAATAAACATTAAAAAAATTTAACAGTTCTGGATATTTTTCAGTTTTCATCATGACAAATGCACTCTTTTTTTAATGTTTATTTATTTTTGAGAGAGAGAGACAGAGTGCAAGTAGGGAGGGGCAGAGAGAGGAGATACAAAATCTGAACGGGCTCTGGGCTCTGCGCTGACAGCTCAGAGCCCGACGTGGGGCTCGAACTCACAGACCACAAGGTCATGACCTGAGCCGAACTCGACCACTTAACAAACTGAGCCCCCCACGTGCCCCATGTTAAGTGTACTCTTAATCCCCCACCTGCTTTCCCCACCCTCCCATCCACCTCCCCTCTGGCAGCCACCAGTTTATTCTCTGTAGTTAAGAGTCTGGGTTTTTTTGGTGTCTTTTTTTCTTTTGTCTGTTCATGTGTTTGGTATCTTCAATTCCACAGGTAAGTGAAATAATATGGCTTTCTCTGACTGACTGATTTCACTCACTACCCTCTAGGTCCATCCATGTTGTAGCCTTGCTTTTTTTTTTTTACCCACTGTCCTATCCAGCCTTTGGACTATATGACTGTTGGCAGGGCATTGGTTTTATAAATTAGAGTTCATCTTTCCAGCGGATAATGGTAACTTACTGTACTGTGACTATGGAATGAACACTTCCATCTGCTAGGCTGTGTGCTAAGCACAGGCATATTACCTCTTCATAGCCAGCCAACACAGCTATATGATAAAAGACAGCCTAGCCTACATTTTGAAAGAAGTAAGGCTCAGAGAACTTTCACAGATCTATAGAGCTCATCATCAACTCTTCGAAAAAAATTAACCCTAAGTATTTTAACAATTCGATCAGAAAATAGAAAGCACTCTAGGTATTTCTTTTACTGTTGGACACAAGCTGTCATATATTATTTCAAGCACAGGGTTTTCTTTATGTTGGATGATTTTTTTTTTTTTTTAACGTGGATAAATGTGTTGAATGAAGGCATGAATTCCATCTCCTTCCCAAGTCTCTATATTTTGGTCAGTGTTACTTCCTGAATAGGAAGATCACTGTTTTAAACACTAAAGACTCGAAGAATTCTTTTCCTTCACGTGGTCTAGGACAGTGCACTGAGTGAGGTCAGCTCCAGAGAGACATTGGCGCAGCGTCAAAGCAGCCGCCTCAACATTGCAGATTGTGTTCTGCTTCTTCTTCTAATGGTCACATCCCCACACGAAGGGGAGAGCACCTCACAGCAGCTTTTCCCCAACATGTTTTGTTAACAAATGGTGCCATTTATGGCCTCCATAAAAGAGGCCTATGTTTACATAACTTTGGTCAAGGCTGGTTGGAATGAATTTTCAAACAGGCTATTACATAGCATATTACTATAGGGCCCTTAATATGTTAATATTATGTCCGGAAGCTCTGCGGGCGAGCGGCATTTCACCAGGTACTCATTCAACTGTAGAATGTTTTTCTCAAAGCCTTAGAAACAATTAGTGTCCCTTGGAGCACATTTTGGTTTTGGGAACACACAGAAAGACAAGGGGTAGGCATTAAATGAGTCGTAATTTGGGTTTTCTAAGGGTTTTCGTGGCCAATTGTTCTGGCTCTCACAACAAAAGAACACTGTCTAGCTAATCGTGCTGTAACGCAAGCAGCATTGCTTGCAGGGAGTGATGACCCCTGGGTCTGGGCCCAGGGACTTTGGTGGGAACATCACCAAGCTCTCAGCTGCCGTGGGTTCCTCGTCCGTAAGGTGCTCCCGTTCCTCTCAGAAGCCTCCACATCCCTATGACGAGGACGCTGGGAAATTGGGTCACTCTCAGCACACGTCACATTGAGCCCCATTTATGGCCTCAACGCTATTCTAGGAGCAGAGATGCAGAGATGAACAAGACACAGTACCTACTTAGATAGAGCTGGCAGCAGAGATGGGAAGAAAGTTAAATAAAAGGGCCAAATATCCGTAGTAATACATACTTTAACAGAAGTGCGTGCATCCCAACAGAGGACAGACTCCCACCCGAGGGACAGGATCCAAGAACTTAGACTTAAATGGACCCAGGAAGGGAGTGAAGTAGTCATCACGCGATGAGATATGCCGGAGACTAAGGTTGATGTTGGAAGGACTTTCCAGGTGGGAGAAACAGTATGTACAGGGGCCAAGGAGACAGAAAGAAGCATGGGCTCTTTAGGGAACAAATAGATCATTGAAGGGTAAGCAAGAGTCTGAGATGGATGAGACATGGAAAAGTATGCAGTTGTTTATATAGACAAATGATTATGTATCATATCATATTGGGGTTTTATGCTCTCAGTGGGTAAGAGAGTCATTACATTATTGTAGGCAAGGGAATGAGTCATATGATCAGAATAGCATTTTAGAAAAATAGTTATTGTGGTTTTGTGGGATTTAAACTAGAGGAGGATGACGCTGCAAGGAGACTTCTAAGAAGTCTCCTCCAGTATTTAACAATAATGATGGTGATAGCTAACATTTATTGAGCATTTCTGTGCTAGGCACTGACATAAGCTTTTGCTGTCTCATTTCATATAATTTTTACTATGGCTGACGGCACGTATTTTAAAATAACGTGCACTGTGGAAAACTGAGGTCCAGCATGGCTAGATAATTTGCCTGAGGTCACACAGATGATGTGTGTTGGAACCAAGGTTTTTAACAATGGCTGACTGATTGAGAATAATTTTAATTATTGTGCCATAATGCCTTCAGACATATTTTTCATAACGATGGCTGACGTTTGAATGTTCCCTCTGGCTAAGTACTTCACTCCGTTGTTCCCATGGATTCTTTCATCTCAACTACATGATTGATGATGGGTGTCCAGTCCAATCGAGGGCAGTGACAGGGGAGATGGAAGCAAAGGGTTTCCCGTGAGATTCAGGCTGAGTTGGTGCAGCCACTTCAGGAGGATGAATCTGGGATGACTCCCGGCTTTCTAACTGGGACAACAGGGTGACATTCAGGAGGACTGGCTAAAGGAGTAGGAACAGGTTTCGACAGGAAGTTCTGAGTTGGTTTGGGGCACGTGCAGTGTCAGTAGCACATCCATGGGGAGATGTCCAGTAAGGACTTGGAATTGGCAGTCACTGCCCTGTGGGTGACAGTGGAGGTCAGACACAGGAGTGATGAAGACACCAGGTCTTCCTCCACATGGAGGATGGCCCAGCTGCCAGAATCGGTGTGTAGGCATGACCCAGCGGTAGGCTTGACTGTCCGTGATCTATCTCACAATCTGCCTTCCCTCCTCCGCCCCCGACTCTTGCTCCTATATTCGCTCTCCTTCTTCAGCCCCTGGGAGAAAGACTTCCTCTCCTGTTTTCCTCGGAGCCAGCTTCTGGCTTCTTCAACAGCTCTCTTCTAAGTAATAGGCCGAGCTGCCAGATACTTAGAATAGTTTAGATACTCTTGTAATGGTTTATAGCTGCTGCTGGTTATTGTCATAATGTGTTTCAGCTGATGTTATTTCTAACTAAACCATACACCCTCGGGCTGTACAAAGAGGACTCTTGTAGCAGCGTAATCTCTGCATCCAATCTCAGAGGGTGAAAATAGATGCTCACAAATTTGGTTGCAAAGGGAAGGAGAGAGGATGTTGCAGTAAATGCCTTGGAGAAGTCCAAAATTTTAAAGCAAGGGAAGTGGTTCCTACCCAGTAGGAACAGAATAACTCTGTGTATGTTCGGTGCCAGTCTTACAGTTTTGGAGATCATGAATCTTTTAAGAAAATACTGGATATAGATATTATTAAATGCCAGAGGTCGCACTTAGCATCTACTCTGCTTTGATGTCACCAAGCTACTTTGAAGGAGACTTGGGTTTTAGCTTTCTTATTTTTCTCTTATGCTCTGTCAGCAGAGTAGATTCTAAATCCCTAAAATCTCTGCCATTCTTCATAGCATTCTTTATGTATCCATCCAAGTACTTCCCATGGAGTGTTCTAGAAACAAATTCTATGTCAAAATGGATTCTTTCCAAATCTTCCATCACTACTTATCCACACAGCAATTAGTAGTTATTTTTGGCTGCTAGGAGACACATTTACTGCAACATTGTGCTTTTAGCCTCAATGAGTAAGGTCTTATGTAATTTAATTTTCAGCTTACATTCACAGTTTTATTTTTCACCACAAAGGTTATTGGGGCTACAACCCCATCATTTCTTTTTCTTCCCCTTGAAACCTTGAGAACTTACCTACATAGCTGTTTATAATTTCTGTCAGACTTAAGACAAAGATTTAAGAAAACTTCAGAGAAGCCTTTTTGGCATCCGAGTTATAGAGGGTGTCAACTAGTGACTAAATTTTAAAAGGTACATTAAAAAAATTTTTTTTTAACATTTATTCACCTTTGAGAGACAGAGCGCAAGCAAGGGAGGGGTAAAGAGAGAGGGGGACACAGAATCTGGAGCAGGCTCCAGGCTCTGAGCTGTCAGCACAGAGCCCAATGCGGGGCTCAAACCCACGAACTGTGAGATTATGACCTGAGCCAAAGTTGGACGCTTAACCGACTGAGCCACCCAGGCGCCCTACGGGGTACATTTCTTAGCAGAGGCTTGCTTGTACTTGGGGAGGAGGGAACGTGGACGCTGGAGATGCTCTCACACCTTGTCAGCAGCAGCGGCAGCCACATGAATGAGAAGGAACATTCTCACTGGCTTGCACTCGGAGTGCTATGGGACATGCGCAGCTGTTTGCATTATTTTTTGGCTCTCTCTATACCTACATAACTTCATGGTGTCACTGCTGGGCTTCCTCTTTTGGTTGCCAAGTTTTATCAGCTGGTGTAGGCTATGCAGCATGTTGTACAGGACATCCTTTAGCGTGCTCCGTGATGTACTTTGTGGAGAGGGGGTTGCAGGCTTTCATACTTCATGTCGCCTTGAAATCTTCAAACTTGCCATGTGCAAAGACCGAATCTATTACCTGCAGCTATTATCCCACATTCCCCTGTTATCCGGGGAAGGTGGGTGGGGGCAGTTCTGTAACCTAGAGAGAAAACATACTATGAAATACCATGTTGACTTTTGTACATACAATTCAAGGATATCCTTCTGTCATTTCGGACATCTTTGTTTATTTTGTCCTTTTCTCATGGTTCAACCTGGAACTGACTCCCTGAAATCCAACAAGCATATAGTTGAGTCTAGATTGTTGCAGCTTTCAGTTTCACAGAAAAGTTTCCATTGTGGAGTCATTGGCATTAAGTTTATGGGACAGTTTTCATTTCTTTTCTTTTTTTTTACGTATAAAAATTTTTAAATGTTTATTTGAGAGAGAGACAGAGCACAAGTCGGGGAGGGCAGAGAGAGAGGGAGACACAGAACACGAAGCAGGCTCCAGGCTCTGAGCTGTCAGCATAGCGCCCGACGCAGGGCTCGAACTCATGAACTGCAAGATCATGACCTGAGCCGAAGTCGGACACTTAACCGACTGAGCCACCCAGGTGCCCCTAGGGATGCTTTTCATGTCTAATGATTGCACCCTGACTTTCCTCTTTTCTCACCGTAGCCAGCTCTTTTTCATATCCCCTCGTGACACAGGCCAAGACGCCAACCAGGCCAGGTCTTAGCATTGAGCTCGTAGGGAGGGCTTGGTGCCAGAGGGGGCGCTTCTTCAGCCAAAGAATGCACTTTGGACTGTTCTGGGCCCTGTGCTGTATCTACACAGTCCACACTTTACCCTCCATGTTTGATGGAAGAGCAGATTGGAGACTGGAACAGACTTGGTGATACTTTATATCCCTTTATATCTTTCTTATTATTTAACAGCTATATTTTTGCAACACACCAAAGGCATGTCGAATGAATGTTGTGACCGGTAGGCTTAAGAACTCTAAGCCTTCTGAGCATTCTGGTTTAAAACTGTATATGTAGCTTTTAATACCATTAGAAACACTTTTTGTTTTCCTTTTTTCTTTTGAAAATGTTTAGGCCACTTAAACCACTCTCAGCTGGGAGGCCTTAGAATCCTGTTAATTTTGCTTCAGCCTGCTTCTGTAGAAGGCTTTATTTCTTATATTTAAAGTCAGTTAAGATTAATTTTAATTTTGGAACTCTGTAGTTTTATGGACGAGTATTCTAGGTGTCCTGTGTATTTATGGTTCATCACCACTTTGTAAGTGACGGCACATGTAATAGAACATGTTACTATTGTTTTCAGAATAGGACATCTTGTGGGTTTTTTTCAAGGCTTGATATCTGTCATTATCATGTAAATAATGGGAAACACACAACATAATTGGGTAAGTAGGAGACCCTCATGGGAAGTTGTGACTACAGACGCAAGTCACAATCATACCTTCACAGTTTTCCCTTAAATGATTAGTGGGTACTCAGAGTTTTCTTCTCTTAGAAAAGTAGGGGAGGCACGCCTGGGTGGCCCAGTTGGTTGGGTGTCCGACTCTTGATTTTGGCTCAGGTCATGATCTCATGGCTTGTGGGATCGAGCCCTGCATCAGGCTCTCTGCTGAGAACGCAGAACCTGCTTGGGATTCCCTCTGTTTCCCTCTCTCTCTCTCTCTCTCTCTCTCTCTCTCACACACACACACTCATACACACACACACACACTCTCTCTCTCCCTCTCTCAAAATAAATAAATAAATATTAAAAGAAAAGTAGGGGAAAGAGAAATGGATACCTCACCAATTTATATCCAACAAGAGTTGTTTTTCTCCCATACTAGGCATGCAAGAGGCCTCTATGAAGCTCACCGAGTCACTGCATGAAGTCTATGAGCCTGATTGGTATGGGCGGGAAGATGTGAAGATGGTGGGCGAGGTAAGAGCCAGGATCACAGACCATGCTGCCAAGTCCTGCTCACTTACCCTAGCCCTTGACCCCCTGCTACCACTTCACAGCCTTAATCGTGAAGAGGGGGGCACCATGTACCCAGAAGACACCGTACAGTCCTGCCATTGAGATCGTCCCATATTCATAGTATTTGGTGAACCGTTATAAACCAAAATAACAATAGTGGTTTTCTGTCCCTGACTACGCACCTTAGCTCATTTTAGCAGCAGAACTGACTCATGGCATGACTTTGTGTACCAACTTCACCCCTGCATTCCCTGCTTTTCCCAACCCTTCTTGAAAGCAAGGTCAGAAGATTCAAAAAGCATCTATTTTGCTTACATATCACTGGCCCATTCGCTGGTCTGAAGAGCCAAAGGACGGATGTGGTCAGCCTGTTAAGAGGAATGTAACTTCCAGAAGCCTTTGTCCCTAGACATGTCTTAACACTTGAAATCCAATTTCTAGCCAAGGGCCATCTGGCTGGCGGGACGTGAGAAAAGTGGGTATTTTCTGCTTTGAGGAAGGAGAATGGGGTGGAGACTGGGAATGATCTATGTGATGTGGGGTGAGCTCTTCAATCTTCTCAGGCTTAGGCTTCCTCATCTGCAAAGTGAGAATAAGAATCGTACCCACAGATAACACATTTAAAGTCTGTGTCATGGACATGATGCTCAGTACGACGTCATTATTACTGGGATTAGCAAACCACCTGTCAGTTCTCTCACGCCCAAGTTCTTTGTTAAAGAGCAGTGTTTGTCATGCCCACCTCACGTGAGCTCATTAATGAACAATCAGGCACAGAAGGGATCCTTGTAAGGGATCCTTCCCAAGGGATGCAGCCACCCCAGCTCGGGAGAAGGTCTGATATGTGATGTGCTGTCTACACGACCTTTGGAAAGATGCGTTAACGGTGCAGCTCCAAGCTGCTCCATGAAAATTCTGACATCTCTGCAGTGATTTCCATAATGTTGTTAAAGCTGAGATAGAAACAGAGCTTTAATTAGGAGGAAAGTTCTTATTGGCCCTGTTGCTTCTTCAGAAGACTTTCAGAAAATGAATCTGGCAAAACCAGCCTCCACACACCAGTCTCCAATACAATTATTAAGTAATTCCCTCTCCTCACGTTTCTTCAGTATAAAGGCACGTTCAACATGTTGTTAAGTGCATAACTCATATGATCAGTTTCTGATGAATGGTATAATTAAAAATTCATCAGGAAAGGAAGACTTTTTAAGGGAATAATAGAAACGTGTGTTAATAGCTTTTCAGAACATCGCGTTACATTCTGTGCATAGCAGATGCCACTGTTGACCTTTATCCCTTAAGGAAATGGCTGGAAATTTACCTTGGTCCTTGTGGGTCCTGCCAAGACTTTTGGAAGCTTTAATTGAAGATCCAAATACAGGCTCTTCTGATGGTGAAGGAGCTCAACACCACGTGTTCAGAGCATCTGCTCACATCAGAAGATGAGCCTTCTGATCTTCTAAATCCTGATACAGAGGATTTAAAGTTTTTGTTTGTTTGTGTGAAATTCTCAGATGGGGATCTGTAACAATTAGGGTGAGTATTTGAAGAGTGAAAAAGAAACAAAAACAGATAAGCTCCCAAAAGTAGTTTTCAAAGGATAGAATATTATCTCTCTCTCCCATAAAGGACGTTACAGGTGAGCAGCCCAGGTATGGGGACCCATGGGACCCATCGTTGCCGTCCCCACTGTCCCTTCCAGGTTCAGTATGACTCTCTGAGCACCGGCCATCAGCTCTCACTTCTGCATTCCAGTTGGGAGAAGGAGGAACCGTGGAAGATAAGCCTCCTTCCTTTTAGGGACACTTCCTGAAATTCACCCCATTGGCCGGACCTTAGTCCCATGGCTGCTCTTAGCTGTGCCGCCGGCTGGAAGATAGTCTGTATCCTCGGCAGCCAATATTGTAAATGGTAACTGGTGTCAAGGTGCCTTCAAATTGTACTGTATTATTAAATAATCCACATTTTTCCTAGCTTCTGCTATCCAGGGAAGTCCTATTTATCGAATTTTATCATTTTTAATTTTTTAGAAGTTTGGTGAAAAGGATCCAATTAAACTCATTCAGCAGTAATCTCCTTTTTTCTCTTTTTTCTCCCAGAAATGTGATGTCCTGTGGGAAGACTTCCATCAGAAACTAGTGGATGGGTCCTTGCTGACATTGGATACCTATCTGGGCCAATTTCCTGACATAAAGGTATTTTACTTTGTGTCCATAATGTGAGGAATTGAATGATTCCACGGACTTACTGAAACACAGGCAAGGGAAGGGCGCCTGGGTGGCTCAGTCAGTTGACTGGCCGACTTCGGCTCAGGTCATGATCTCAACAGTCCGTGGGTTTGAGCCCCACATTGGACTCTGTGCTGACAACTCAGACCCTGGAGCCTGCTTCAGATTCTGTATCTCCTTCTCTCTCTCTCTGACCCTCCCCCACTTGTACTGTGTGTGTGTGTGTGTGTGTGTGTCTCTCTCTCTCTTTAAAAATAAATAAACGTTAAGTAAAGTTAAAAAAATAAAAAAGAAACACAGGCAAGGGAGAAGTGGAGTTTGGAGTCCTAAAGCTGACATCAATGATGGTAACTTTTCATTTATTTAAGCATGGAAGTGTTACCCTGTTCCTATCAGTTCTGAAATGAAATACAGCTACAGAAATCACATTTTCCCCTTTGGCAGACTGTTTCAACTTTGATTTCTCTACAGACGTCTTTTTAATACTCTAGATATAAAACTGCAAGCCAGGTACCAAAAATTCCAATCTTATTTTATGTTCAAACCTTTTTTATTGGATAGCATTTGATAAGAATTTCCATTAGAATAAACAGCAGTCATAAGGAAAGGAGAAAACTTGATTGCAAACACGAGAGCAAAACTGCGATCTTCCCATGTTTACTGTTCAGAGCACACCTGCGTGTTTTCTCTCTCCTTAAAATTTTCTGCTTCAGATTGAATTGTTGAGGTACAAGCATTTCAAATACATTAGCATCTGGATTTAAAAATACCTTGTCTAAAACATTTATCTTATTTGACACATGGATTCATTGAAAGGGAAATATATAAGCGAAGGATTGAACATCATAGGTTTGGAATTGACTCTGGAGGTAAATATGGCTTTTAAACCTTCAGGGCTGTCTACAGCAAATGGCAGCATTAATAGATCTGCACCCTCACCCCCCACAGTTGTTTTTTCTGCTCAAGGAGGAGTATCAAGTAAGATGACCATATACTGCCCTTCCTTTAGGGTGAAAGAGGCCATGAACCTACATCCACCCATCTTCAGTGCCTTAATTGACTTTTTATGTGGATTCCACTTTTACCTGGCCTGCTTTGTAGCCATGGCCATGAACCATAGTGAAGCTTCTCGACTAGAACAGCACTCCTATCAATGATGTTAATTTCCTTTGTCCCACATAAAATGCCTAACAACTAGTTGGCCGACATCCAAAGTGTTATTTTGGGACACAGGGGCACCAGACAAGAACCTCAAGGGGATCAGACGAGGTCCATTAGCCTTGGTGGCCAAATGTCACAGAGAATGAATCCAAATGATGGATTCTCAGTGACATTATCATAATAGGCAGAACACTTTATTGAGGCATTGCAGAACTGTATCCTAGTTAAAAGGTATAAGTTGGCTTCTTAACGTTTTCTGAGAAATTTAAAAATGAAATTGAAAACATTTTAGAATTCTGTGAGGTTGCAGGCACTAACCTATAGGAAATGTGTTTTGGGATAGCTTCAGATTATTTGGGAGATAATCCCATTTGGTCTTGGAATTTGTAACACTTGTGGAGCAAACAATCTCAGAATCCCTATCATACTTCAGGATATCATTTATTGCAAGGTAATTTAATCTCTGTAAAACCAGTTCCCAGTATATCAGAAGAGGATAAGGGAAAACTTTGACGTCATACTCAAAAATTTCAAAGCAGTTTGTAACTAGTCCAAATTATTCATATAATATACATTCATAGTATGATTGAAGAAAATGAAGGCTGTGACTGCCCAGAGAAGAACACATTTGAAAAGTTGTTGAGTTTCAAGAACAAACACTTGGTATCATCAAAAAAATATGGAGGATCTCAGTAGTTACGGTACTTTCCAGCCGTAGTTATTTGGAAATTGGCCATACTGTCTAGGAGCATATAATTTTATAAGACAAATACACACAGAAGTACCTGCACTGAAACAGATAAAAATCAAATCATTATGAATGATACTGGCTGGTCTTTTCAGTTTGCTCCATGTCCGAAAGATGATTAACTCAATAGAACTTTTAATCAAGCAGTTCTTTTCTTGAGGTCCATGGTTGAGGCCATGCACAAAGATGGTCCTCCAGTGATTGAACCATCTTTACACTAGAGATTTAGGAATAATACCATCTATCTGGATGTCTTGAAAATAAGTGAAATATATGCCTTGGTGTTGCCTGCATCATGCATAGAGCCTGAAAAAATCACTCTTTCTCTTAAGTCACATTTAGAATATCATACCATACACATAGGGTTTCAACCAAGGTAGATAATTGTGAAATCGTTTCTTATGACAAAGAGTTGACGAAATAGCATGAAATAGGAAAGGGAACTATTTGGAACTGGAGTGTAGACAGGGTGGCTCTTTCTCAGATTTGAAAGATGGTTTTCTGTGAAGATACACTTAAGTTATTCTCTGTGTCTTTGCTCACTGAATAGAAGGTGGAAGTGGATGTACACCCTGTCACTTTGTCACGTTAGTGCTGAATGATTATGTAACGAATGGGTTATTGAATGAAAGGAGGTTGATGATTAAAAATACGGAGTAGAGAATTTTCAGAGCATGGAATACGACTGACTTCCATTTAAATCAAACAGTCCATGTGTAGTTAAAATGTCAGGCAAATTTCCAAATATTTATTGCGGCTCCCCAGTAAGGGCTATGAAGTACCATTCATGAGGGAATGATGTTTGATTTTTCCCACTGTGATTGGCAGGGGACCCAGTGTTATAGTTCTTATTATGCGGCACTGACATCTGAAATCAATGCTAGAATAAGAGCCAGCTTGTCATCAACACAGGCAGGCTTACAGCTGTGAGCAGTTATTGTAAAATGTAGTTTAGATTCTATCTTGGCAGCCATGTATAAGCACCTAAACATACACTGACAGCAGTGTGCCAAAGTGAATCCAAATTGGGGTTATTACTGAAATTTAAAAAAAATACAGTAAATTAAATTTTTTTACTCTATAAAGTGAGCCTGCAGTGAGAAATCTGAAAAAAATTCAACTGAACCACTGAAGTAAGCCATTTGCCATCACATTCGTGAATTTATTTAATTAAATTTACCACTGGATGGTTAAATAAGAATTGTATCATTTTCTAGACAAAAGCCAAAGTGAATTAACTCTACCCTTCCTTATGGGATTTGATTCGTTTTTTGTTTTTTTTTTTCAAGGTTTTCAAATATCTGATAGGTAAGGAAATAAGATGGGTTTGTATTTCCAGCACAGAAATGAGAGCTGGCCTTCAAAACAGTCACTTCTACCTTGGTAAGCCCTGCTCTGTAATTGAATTGCCAGTTACACGAGAAAATGAGTCACATGACTTATTTCACTTCTTGTTTTTGAGGAAAAAAAAGATGACCCAGTGTACTCTTCCACCTTATTCTCAGGCTTGGAAGTAATTGAATTTTGGCTGTATTCAAAAATCACATTCATTTTCAAAGAATCAAGATTTGCTTCTCTGAAAATACTAAAGAGTGCCCCACCCCAATCCCCACCTACAAATCCACAAAGTGGAGCTTTATCAGAGTTACGGAGAGTCACACAAGCCCAGCGCTTCAAGGGCTAATGTTCCTTTGAAGGTAATAGATGTTTGCTAAAACTCATGGCCTCTGTCACCTCACAGGCACACTGTGTCCACCAGAGTTCACCAAAGGGCATCACTGCATCCTGCCTAAGCTCGTTTATTTCTTATCTTTAAGCAAATGTGAGTCAGCCATTCCTTTCACGACTAACACCAGTTGGATGTGGTAGATGTTAGAGGGTAAAGAGATTGGAAGCAGCTAAATGAGAGTAACTGCCCCAACCCGCCTCTCACCCATCCAGATGGGGGTGTAGAGGAATAGCATAGCGTGGTAGTTGAATGATGGGGTCTGTCAGAGAAATAGGGGGGCAGTTAGAAGGAGTACCCACCAAGAACCAGGGGCAGGGCGGGGACTGGGTGAGGCAGGTGAGGGCACCGGGGTTCAAGCTATAAGAAGGCGCTGCTCTGGGTTGCTGACCCTGCACGTACGTGACCCTGAGAATATGGGCCTTCTTAGAGGCTGTATTCTAGAGGTCTCACGTGCATGTCCGGGCTCCCTGCACTGGGTCGGGCGGGGGGCGTGGGGGCGGGGAGGTGGAACTGACATCGAATTCATCTTTGCCCGAGGCTTTCTGAGCAGTTCTGGACACATTAGAAGGTAATATCATGCGACTCGAAATTCTCTACGTACAATGGGAATAATCCCTGCGTCACCCGGACTGGATGTTGCTGAGGGTCTGTGCATTATGACTGTTTTGTATGCCATAAACATTATTTTATCGTTGTTTTCTTCTTCTTTCCAGGCACAATTTGAGGGTTGTTTTTTTTTTAAGGATCTTCTCCAGCTGTGGTTCTCAGGTTGGACTAGCTGAGTATAACTGGACTGCTAGGGATCTTTTTTTTTTTAATAGTTTATTGTCAAGTTGGTTTCCATAGAACACCCAGGGCTCATCCCCACACGTGCCCTCCCCCATGCCCATCCCCCCCTTCGCTCTTCTCCACCCCGTTAGCCCTCAGTTTGTTCTCAGCATTCAAGAGTCTCTCATGGTTTGCCTCCCTCCCTCTCCCCCACCATTTCCCCCCTTCTTCTCCCCCACGGTCCTCCATCAAGTTCCTCCTAATCCTCCTATACGTGCAAACATATGGTATCTGTCCTTCTCTGCCTGACTTATTTCACTCAGCATAACACCCTCAAGGTCCATCCATGTTGCTACACGTGGCCAGATTTCATTCTTTCTCATTGCCATGTAGTATTCCATGGTATAGATAAACCACATCTTCTTGATCCATCCATCAGTTGATGGACACTTAGGCTCTTTCCATGTTTTGGCTATTGTTGAGAGTGCTGCTGTGAACTTTGGGGTACACGTGCCTCTATGCTCAGGACTCCTGTATCCCTTGGGTCAATTCCTAGCAGAGCTATTGCTGGGGCATAGGAGAGTTCTATTTAAAAAGGGCAGGGGTGCCTGGGTGGCTCAGTTGGTTAAGCATCCAACTCTTGGTTTTGGCTCAGGTCCTGATCTCACGGTTCATGGGTTAGAGCCCTGCATTGGGCTCCACGCTGATAGTGTGGAGCCTGCTCACAATTCTCTCTCTGCCCCTCTCCTCTCTCTCTTTCTCTCTCTCAAAATAAATAAATAAACATAAAAAAATTCTTTAAAAAAGAACAGATGCCTGGGCCTTGCCTCGACTAATTAAATTTGCTTATTATTTTCTTATTTGTCGTATGTCTATAACTTTTAGTGGTTGCTCTACAATTTATACCAATTGCTCTACAATTTAACTTTTTCCTGTCTAACTTCAAATACCATCACAGCACTTTTATATAAACAATGTACCTCCAGTTCTTTCCTCCTTTCCTCTATTACCATCAGATGTTTTTCCTTTACAAATGTTAAAAACCCCATGGTACATTTTTCCCATTTCCTTTTTTGTTCTAGATAATCAGTTACTTTTCAAGCAATTAAAAGACCAAAGTCATGTATATTTAACCTGAATTTTGTAATTTCTGGGTTTGTTTTTGTTTTTGTTTTGTTTTGTTTTTGCATAGCTGTACTTCATGTAAAAACTCCCATAATGGCAGTGAATTCTTTCAGCTTTTGTTTGTCTGAAAAAGACTTTATTTCACTTTCACTATTGGAAGGTATTTTTACTGGGAATAAAACTCTTGAGTTGGCAGATTTCTTTTTCTTTTGTTTTCAGTACTTTAAACATGTCATTTCATTGTATTCTCACCTACATAGTTTCTCCAGATTACCTTTCTGTAACCCTTGCCTTATTCTTTCTGTTTTTCTTTCTTCTTGATTTTAAGCAGTTTGATTATCAAGTGGACGTGTATTGTTTGTTGTTCATCCTTCTTGGGGGTCTGTGAGTTCCTTGGGTCTGTCCTTTTATGTCTTCATTATTACATAAAATTCTCAGCCAGTATCTCCTCAAATATTTCTTCTGACTTGGCTCTCATCTCTTTTTGAAACTCCAGTGATACTGTGTTGGACCATTTAATATCTGGTCTTGTATGCTTGATTCTGTTATGTTTTCAACTTTTAGTTCTCTTTGTATTTTAATGGTAATGATTGCTCTTGATGAATTTTCAAGTTCAGTGTTCTTTCTTGGCTAAAGTACAGCAATTGGCCTATCAAAGACACTTTTCCTTTCTTATATCATTTTTTAATTTCTAGCATTTCCATTTGATTTTTTAGAAATGTTTTTCCAATGATTTTTAATGTTGATTTCATTTTTGAAAGAGAGAAAGAGACAGAGTCTGAGGGAGGCACAGAATCTGAAGCAGGCACCAGGCTCTGAGCTGTAAGCACAGAGCCTGACACAGGGCTCAGACTCACACACCGCGTGATCATGACCTGAGCCAAAGTTGGATGCTTAACCCACTGAGGCAACCAGGCGCCCCTCCATTTGATTTTTATTTACTACTAAAGTTTCCATATTTCTGTAGAAATTATTCTGCTTATGTCTGTTATCTTCCTTTTCCAACTTGATTCTTTAACATAGTTTCTCATAGCTGCTTTAAAATTTCTGTTTGGTATTTCCAACATCTGGGTCATGTCTGAGTCTGGTTAATTGTTGGCTTTGTTGTTGGGAGCCGTTTTCTGAACTCATAGGTTGAGTAAGAACTCGTTATGAGGTTAAGGTAAGTTGCAGGGACTCTTACTGTCAGATGGCCATGGATATCCACCCCCACCCAATTATTTCTGCTCGGGTACAGACCCCCAAGTCACTTTGTTAATTGGTTTTAGGAGTGATTCATTCTGGCTTTGATATGCTGATTGCACTTTGTGAAGGAACTTACTAAAGGAACTTCTTTTGTGGTTATGGGAGCAACGTTGAGTTCCTGAAAGACCTGTTTTTCTCATTACCTCCCATTAAGCAATGATGAGAGTAACTTTTGCCTTCACTATGCCTATGCCACCTCTGGGCTGTTCCCCATCCTTCTGCATATCAATGTTCTTGGAGAATCTTTACTGATCAAGGGATTTATCATCAGAATGCTGCTTTTGTGCTGTTCCCCAAACACTAAATCATAAAATAAAGTTGAGTCTCAGACAGTGCTGAGAGGCCTGGCTGGTGACCAGAAAGAACCTCGAGTCTCTCTCATCCCCCACTCACCAACACCGCCCATCCTTCAGGAACCCCCACCCCCGCCCCGGACCCGGCAGGAGCTGGACTCAGGCGCTTTATCTTTTCTCATGGAGGTGTGTGTGTGTGTGATAGATAATTTTAGATTGAATCCCAGGCATCATCTTACAGAATAGTAAAGACTGAAGTAGTATTAATGCCTGGAAATGGGCCTATTTTTTTTTTCAATCAGGCCAGGAGTGTGGGGATGCAAATCAATCTGATCATGAATTGAAGTGGATTTGGGTGAGTTAGTACTGTTGTTACTTTTAGTGCACTGCGGCTTTCACCTTCCTCTAGAATTGGGCTGCTAATGCCTTGTGCTGATCTCTTAACACATAGGATAGGCCCATGGATGCCAGATAATTTTCCTGAGTGTCCTTGTTCCCCATCATATTTTGGTTCCTTGTATGCTTGTATTTCAGAAGGGGCCTCTCCATACACACTTGCCCTCCCAACAGTAGTAGGGAGTTATTGGTTGGTATTGAGTGTTGGATTCATCACGGGGGCAAGGCTGTTTCCAGGTATAATCTCTTGGCCTGTCTGAAGCAAAGTCAGCCTCATATCTGTGGTTGGTTTTAATCAGGAGTTTCCTGCCCCTGCCCGAGTGGGAACAGACCTCTGCTTCTTAAAGGAGTCAGAATGTGGGTCCAAGAAGGTTTATGTCCCTTCCCCAATGAGTAGGGATTTTTACATTTACCCTTCCTCATGGAACAATGTTCTTTGCATGTAGAGCAAGAGCCAGAGGGGCCTCTCTCTCTCTGGGCCAGATTGGTTTTGCCTCTGCTCTTCCCCACCACGCAGTGAGGGGATCTTTTCCTGGTCTCTGTGAGTAGGAGGATTTCTTGCTTCCTCCTTAAGCTACTTACAGCTTTTTCCTTATAGGAGAAAAAGGTCCATCGACATGGGCGTGGTTTGGTGCCCACCACGTAGCAGCCGTAGCTCACCACATTCTCACCTGCACTGCAAGGCAGTGTATTGTTCCCGGACTTTCTCATAGCACCCAGTGGAGGCCAAAGGAAAGAACTTACCCCTCAGTGCAATTTGCCCTCGTGTCTTGGCCACCCAGCTTTCCAAAGTGATACCTTAACCCACACTAGGCCTTTAACGGTTTGTTAAAATCTTAGCTGACCTCTTCATGTCCACTTGTATGCTGGCCACAGCTGCCATCTGCCACAAATGGGCTCTTGTCTTGTCTCTCCTAGGATGGATTTGTCCCTCTTCCTTACTAAAAGAATTCAGATTACTTTGTTGCCTTGTGACATAAGGTTTCCAATACAATCAGTAAGAGTTACCCTTTTATATTATCCACATTTTTTCTAGTTGGTGTGAGAGTAACATTCGTGGCATTGTCTGTACCCTAAATGGAAGTGTAGTTTCTAGGAATCAATATATTTTTAAAGCTCCTCGGGTGATTCTAATCAATGGAAGGATTGGGGAACACTTCTAGGAAAAAGGATTTTTTAGGAAATAAATCTGTTTTATAGAATTGCTGTTGGTGTGAGTGTTATTAGAATTGTAAAACCAGGGACCTGGGTAGCTCAGTTGGTTAAACGTCTGATTTTGGCTCACGTTATGATCTTGTGGCTCTCATGAGTTCGAGCCCTGTGTCGGGCTCTGTGCTGACAGCTCAGAGCCTGGAGCCTGCTTCGGATTCTGTGTCTCCCCACACCTCTCTCTGCCTGCCTCTCCCTTGCCTGTACTCTCTCTTGCTCAAAAAGAAATAAGCATTAAAAAAAAAACAAAAAAGAATTGGGGCTCCTGGGTGGCTTAGTCGGTTAAGCGTCCGACTTTCGCTTAGGTCATGATCTCGCGGTTCGTGGGTTCAAGCCCCGCGTCGGGCTCTGTGCTGACTGCCGGCTCAGAGCCTGGAGCCTGTTTCGGTCTGTGACTCCCTCTCTCTCTGACCCTCCCCTGCTCACGCTGTCTCTCTCTCTCTCCTAGAAATAAATAAAACATTTAAAATAAAGAAAGAAAGAAAGAAAGAATTGTAAAACCAAATGCTAATATAGTTTTCCATGATCTTCAAAGTGGAACACTTCAAGATTTAGAGGAGAGGCTATAAGTCAGTATAGGTTTATTGCTCCCCTCAACTAGTTCTGGAATTTTTCTCATTTTTGACTGCACATTCTACCCTCAACTGACCAGCTTTATTATTATCAAATGGGAAAATATTTACCTAATGGTTTTTACATAAATGGTTTTACATAAAGAATTGGAGGTGTATTTTGGAGAATTTCCAGATATCATTTATCTGCTGAAACTCTGGCTCACTTCAGTAACTAAGATACTTAGTTACTCTGGACAAAGAAGTCAAAAAGACACTCTGACCATGACTTTTCCTTAGTTGTATGTATTTCCTTTTTGGCAGAATCGCATCGCAAAACGCAGCAGGAAACTGGTGGACTATGACAGCGCTCGGCACCATCTAGAAGCTTTGCAGAGCTCCAAGAGGAAGGATGAAAGTCGAATCTCTAAGGTGAGGATTGATCCCACTGGTGACACCAACTCTGTGTATTCTGTGACTTCTGACAGTTTTTCTTTTTAAAATTGAATACAAGCAGATTGGGAGGAGTGAAGATGGTGGAAGAATAGGGGGACCCTAAGCTTGTCTCGTCCAGCAAATGCGGCTAGATAAATATTTTGAACACCCAAGAAATCGGTCTGAGAGCTGAGAGGGTAAAATTAAATACAAGCATACCTCAGAGATATTGTGGGTTCAGTTCCCAACCACTGCAGTAAAGCAAATACTGCAGGAAAGCAATCAGATGAATTTTTTAGTTTCCCAGTGCATACAAAGGTTATGTTTACACTATATTATAGTCTGTTAAGTGTGCAAAAGCATTATGATTAAAAACACAGTGTGCATATCTTCACTAAAAACATTTTCTTGCTAAAAAATGCTAATCATTACTTGTGCTTTCGGTTATTCATAATCACTGATCTCAAATCACTATAAAAATATAATAATAATGAAAATGCTTACATATTGCAATAATTACCTGAATGTGACACAGAGACATGAAGTGTGCAAATGCTGTTGGAAAAATGGCACCTGTAGACTTGCTTGATGCCAGGTTGCCACAGACTTTCAATTTGCAAAAATGACAGTTACCTGCAAAGCACTGTAAAGCACAAAAAAAAAAACCCCAAAAAACAAAAAATTAAAAAAAATGAGGTATGCCTGTATTTCCTTTTTAAAGGAGATTGGAATCAGGACAGAATTTCAACTGTATCATGGTACCTATTAAATTAAAAAGAAATTAAAATAAATAAATTAAATAAATTAAAAATAAGGTTTTTCATCTTACTGTAGAGTTCACATGGCTGACAGTGACTCATACGTTCTGATCAAAATAAACCTTGGCCCCCGACAGTACTGTAGGGTCAGTGAAAGTCACGTGTTCCCATACTTCCTTCTGTGTTTGTGGTCCATCGATGAAGCTAAAAGGCAGATTCAGATAGAAAACCAAGTTTGAAATTCCACGACATAACCTGTGATTATCAGAGAGCCCAGACATGTGCTGGATTTGTGGAATGGATTCATTTCCTTTGAGAAATCCCATTTTGGTAGCTTTTACTCTGTATGCTTGTTACTTATAGACACCAACTAACTGACACGTGCTAACTACTCCCTTTCCTTCCAGCCTTACCTCCTTCTGTCTGCCTACACACAGCTGTCTGAATAGTCTTTCTGCCTCACATCTCTAGATCTGTTTCCCCAGTGCTTGTCTTTTAATGGTTCCCATTGCCTGTAGAAAACAAATCTAAATTCCTTAGCATGCATATGAGCCCCGCACAACTTGGTAGTGACTCACCTGTTCGTCCTACTCAACTTTCAAATATTCTTTCCCCTCTGCTTCTTCCATACACACATTGTAAGCTAGAGCCTCCATGACCCACACCTCAGTTCCCAAGCAGCCACGATGCGCAGCCACGATGAGCCACGAACAGCCACGATGAGAGCAGAACTGAGGGGTCTCGGTTCCTACAAGACCCCATAGATGCCAGGCACCATGATCACCCACGTCATCATTTTTTAATACTCACGATACCTGTGAAGGAGGCATTACTGTCTCCCATTTTATCAGTGAAGTATCCGAGGTGAGGAACGTTAAAATGGTCTCCCAAGTTTACACAATTAATAAGCTAGGATTCTAGCTACTAGGGAATGCCACCTTTAGGCACTGTAGCATCTCTCCACCCCCTTCTTTAGCAAGCATTTGCCAATTCTTCAAGAGTCCATCAGAACATCGCTTTCCCTGTGGAACCTTCTCTGTTTCTATACCACCTTCCCCAACAGCACGCTCTGCAACCTATTGCAGGCTCTATCTTGTATTGTAATTATTTAGACTTCCCAGTAGGCTAGGAGTTTCTCTGTGTAGCATCCATGTCCAGTGTCCAGACACAGAGCAGCGGTCCAGACAGTTAGCCCATTCTGTAACATGACTGGATTTGCAGGATTACAAAAGCAGCCATTGTAATCGAGTCAGTTTCTGTGTCTTCATAAGACTCCCCATTTCTTACTGAAAACGATTGTATGGATTATAACCAGACCATTTCTGTCCTTCTCAAAATGTTTCTTGGATGCCATAACGCAATTCCTATTTTATGTTAAATGTTGTTGTTGTTGTACATAGCAGTGGCTTATGTCTCAGTGATCTTTTTTAGTGTAAACCTGTGTCAATGTGTCATTCCTAGGCAGAAGAGGAGTTTCAGAAAGCACAGAAAGTGTTTGAAGAGTTTAATGTCGACTTACAGGAAGAGTTACCATCGTTATGGTCAAGGTAAAGTTTCTGTACGGGGTGTACATGTCCAGTTTAGAAGATCAAGAACAGGATATCCCTTCTCTTATCTTTATTGGTTGTGAAGTTTCAGTGCCTTCCAAGAAAAGTGTTCTATATCTGTGCTTTTCAGAACGGTAGCTACTTGCCACACATTGGCTGTTGAACTCCTGGAATATGGCTAGTATGTGGAGGAAGTGAATTTTTTATTTATTTTGTTTTGATTCCTTTCTGTTTGACTAACCATACCAAGCTAGCAGCTGATATATTGATGACACCGTTTTGGACCTTGATGTCTAAAGTGGCATCTCACATCTCCAAAAGAGGCCTTAGGAGAACAGCCCTTAACTTTGAAATTTACAAGGATACCATGTTAGCTCTAGGCAAAACTTCCGTGATCCCGAGGGGTCATCTAGTCTTCGGGCTTTGATGCCAATCCCTGGGCTTTCAGCTCTGACCTTTTTAACCTGATCTTCATTCCCGTTTTAAGCACTAAATATTCTTTTACAGTTACTCTGCATTTCTCATGGCATTAAGTGCATTTTCCATCCTTCTGTCTTATTTTTCCCCCTCAGTGTAGAACCAAGAAGCTGTTGGATACAATGGGGGCTTCTGCCTCTCAAATTCCATCAGCGCCTCTTGCTACCATGCACATAAACACATTTGCACTTGTGATCCAACATTGCTTTAAGGAAAATCCCCTAGCCCGGTTTCCAACCAGACTGGCATCCTCAAAACCTTCCTATCTAGAAATTCTGGAGCTCCTAGCTATCCCTTAAAACTGTAAGCATTTTGAGGGTCTAGAGTGGAGTTTGCCCATCTTTGTGTTTTCATGGTTTGGGGTTGGTTCATTTTTTGCCAATAGTAGGCACTCAGTGTTTATTTTTGAAGTACTGAAAGAGCTAGAGGAAGTTTTGGCTCATTTACTCACAAATCAGCCTGTAGGGCATGAGAACGTCAACGTCTAGCCATAACCCAAGGTTCAACCATGTGTGACATAAACTCATCGCTCCTCTGAATTTACTCATTCTTTCTGCAACTGTGTTCTCCTTTTGGTACTGTCATTGTTGGGCTCCCTGCCTCAAAGCTTTGGAATCATTAACTATGGGAAACCAGAGGACTGTCAGAGGAATCAGTTTTTCCCTTGTCTGTGGTCTTCTGGATTGGTCTCTCCCTCTCTATTCTCACTGTCACCACCCATCCCCTCATCCTCCTCCCGTGGCTTATGACGGTGGGCTTGCCCTCACCTTTGTGTCTTTGACCTCATCCTGTATACTTCATTCCACGGCTCTACCTTGACCTCTCTGTGGCCTGCTGAGGAGCCTACTGTGGGTGCCCAAAGAAGCGAGGATTTTGAGCAGCTTGAATTTAAAAACCTTTTAGTGGTATAATTGAGGCAAATATATATTCATAACTTTCATGGAGTCATTCATGCCTATTTAAAATCACAAGCGATAGAGGCACCCATGTGGCTCAGTCAGTTGAATGTCCGACTCTTGATTTTGGCTCAGGTCATGATACTAGGGTTGTGGGACTGAGCCCCATGCTCAGCACAGAGGCTGCTTGAGATGCTCTCTCTCTCCCTCTGCCTCTCTGTCTCTCTCCCCCACTCATGCTCTCATTCTCTCTAAAATAAATCTTTAAAAAATGAAAAATAAAATAAAATCACAAATTATATGAAATTATGGGTTTTTTAAGAAATATGTTTTTGCCCTCTTGTATGTCACAAAATACTTGTATCCAAAACCTTTATGCACATCTTGGGCATCCGTGTCTTGTCCTCATTAAGGGCACTCATCGAGTCACTAGGAAGTAGGTCTCCCCAGCTTGTCGTCTTCCCCAACATCCCAGACGCCAGTTGCCATGTGCATACAATGTAGACAGTCTCCTGTTCATTCCCCTCTGAAGGATTTTTTTGTGATTTCAAATGTCATTACTTATTCAATTGCTTTTTAAAAATTTTTTTTAGGGGCGCCTGGGTGGCTTAGTCGGTTAGGCGTCCGACTTTCGCTTAGGTCATGATCTCGCGGTTCGTGGGTTCGAGCCCCACGTCGGGCTCTGTGCTGACTGCCAGCTCAGAGCCTGGAGCCTGTTTCGGTCTGTGACTCCCTCTCTCTCTGACCGTCCCCTGCTCACGCTGTCTCTCTCTCTCCTAGAAATAAATAAAACATTTAAAAAATTAAAAAAAAATTTTTTTAATGTTTATTTATTTTTTTGAGACAGAGGGAGAGAGAGAGAGATTGAGAGAGAGAGAGGGAGGGAAGGGCAGAGGAGAGAGAGGGAGACACAGAATCTCAGACAGGCTCCAGGCTCTGAGCTGTCAGCACAGAGCCTGACACGGGGCTCGAGCTCATGAACTGTGGGATCATAACCTGAGCTGAACCCCAGCGCTTAACCAACTGAGCCACCACCCAGGTGCCACCCACCCCCCCAACTTGCTTTTTAAACGGATCTTTATGAGAGCTTAGGTACTACAACACTCAACACTTCCAATTATGAGATAATACTCCCGGGAAAATTGGCAAAATTGCCCAAAGACAGGCATTCTTTGCCTTAATATGTATTGGGTATGTAACAAATTTTTTTTCCCTAATGTTCTCTATGAGCATCTCAAACTAGCATTGACAGATGTCATTTCAGGCTTATGTGTCTTCACCAAATAATATTTGGTCATTCAAAATAAGCAGTTGTCACAGTATCTTGTAATATGGAAGACTTTATAGGAACTTAAACACAATGGCGCTATTTGAAGGACAAGTTTTGGAGAGAAGCCTTTCCCCTTCTCTGGCCATATACAACATAAATCTTCAGTGCTTTTTATTTTTAAACGTTTGTTCAGTTTTGAGAGAAAGTAGAAGTGGGGGAGGGGCAGCGAAAGAGGGGAACAGAGAATCCGCAGCGGATTCTGTGCTGACAGCAGTGAGCCCGATGCAGGGCTCGAACTCACGAACCGTGAGATCACAACCTGAGCCAAAGTCAGATGCTCAACCAAGCCACCCTCGTGCCCCGCGTCAGTTCTTTTTAATCCACTGTAACTTATTTCCACACTCAAGTGTTTTTCCTTTTTACGTGAGTCAGGTCCCGCCCTTTGATCACATCCTAGCTTGGACCTTTATATATGTTGTGGTTTTTGACTAGACCTACATTATTTAACCACACTAATTGTGTGGACTGTGTTTATATGAGAGGAAAAGAGAGAGGTTGTTTATTTTGAATACTTTCTATTTTCCAGGTACCATTATATTCACTTTACACACATAGTATTTAATGATCACATTACATATATCCTCATCTGACAAATGAGGAAGCTCAGGACCACACTGGGTGAACACTTTGAGGAAGATTGTTAAGTTTATTGTCAAGTGTGAGTTCTGAAGCTGGCGCTTAAAAACAGGCCTGTGGTGTTGCCTGTAAGTCCCGATGGCTGTATTGAGGACTTCTTATTTAAAATGAGACCGTAGGCAGACTTTCCTAAATAAAGCTTTCGTAATAAAACTTAGTCCATAAATCTGTTTTATTATACGTATGTGCTCTTCCCGGCCATCTTACTCCACCGTGAAGTTGAAGTTAGTACTTTGTGTCTTCCGGGCCTCCCTCCGTGGTGAAATGAGTAATGAGAGCGTCACTATTTAAGGAACACGCAGAAGAGACCCTTGCAGACGGCCCTGAGAAGGAATAATCAGAGATGTGGGAGGAGACCCGGGAGAGTAGTATCTTAAAAAGTCAAGAATGAAGAGAGCTTTAAAAATGGAGTGCCAGCAGAATCATTTACGAGACAGAGGTCGGGCACAGGAGACTAGGGTGCATTTGTCTGGATGACCTCCCAGCTTCTGGCTGATGGTGGGGTCGGAAGCCTGGTGCAGCCATTGGAGGCACCATGGTTGATGACGTAGAAGCAGTGGCTGTCATCTCTTATTTGAGGACCTTGGCTATGATGGGCCTGAGGGAATAGTGGTAGCAGATGCGGGGGGGGTGAGAGGGCAGGGGAAGCCTTCCAAAATAACTGGTATCATTTTGAGGGGCACCTGAGTGGCTCAGTCAGTTAAGCGTTGAACTTTGGCTCAGGTCACGGCCTCATGGTGTGTGGGTTCGAGCCCCGCGTCAGGCTCTGTGCTGACAGTTCAGAGCCTGGAGCCTGCTTCTGATGCTGTGTCTCCCTCTCTCTCTGCCTGTATCTCTCTGTCTCTCTCTCTCTCTCTCTCTTAAAAATAAATAAACATTAAAAAATTAATCTGAAATCACCGGTATCGTCCTGATAGGCTGACCATGGCAGCCGCACAGGGTGGGGATTTCTGGAGCCAGGAGGGGACGGGGGATGCAGACAAGGTGTTGGCACAGCGACCAGCCAGTGGCGAGAGGTATGCCACGGGGCCCAAGCCTGAGAGGACAACAGCCCTGAAGGAAAGGGGCGCCGGTCTCAGAGAGATTAAAAAAAGTCAGCAGGTGGAGTGGAAGTGAATGAATGAAGGATCTTGTGGTCGAGGAAATGAGGTCAAGGAGCAGGTCCCTGGACTGTCTCATCTCAGTCGTGAGCCATCGACGGCCAGACCCAGGATCTGCGGCAGAATGTGGATAAATAAAGCATGTGAGTTGGGAGGTTGTTTCCTGCTTGGAGAGGCAGACGAGTGTTGAGATCTGCTGTGCTCGTGTTAGGATCTGGTGAAGGACAGAGAAGGGAATCATGAGATGTGCCCTGTGGACAGTCAGTGGGGCGGGGGCTGGGGCTTGGTAGATGAGCTGTACAGGGTTGCATACGTGGGGCAGGAATCTCAGAGGAGGGTGTGTCAGGGGCCCAGAGGAGCAGGGACGACTTTGCTCTCCCTCTCCATCCTCCTGGTGAGGGCTGACAGCGGATGATGTTTCTTCCATTGGAGGGGGCTGTGGGGGGGGGACAATGACCCCCCCAGCCCCACCCCTGCAGATTTCCCTGAGGGAAGTGCTGAGGGGAGTGTCCCGGCCTGCAAGACTGTGTGATAGCTCAGCTGATAATCCTTTCATATAATGCTTTCCATTGTTTCCAAGAACAAAGAACCTTCTTAATAAAGAAATTAAGTGGGTCTTGACAGCTAACCTGAAGGGGCCTGAGGATGCCTCAGAGGACATGGTAATGTCTCAGAGTCCCTTGTTTAGCAAGAATGTGTGAAACACCTCGCAGACACATAATAGCAGTGCTCTTGGTGGAGGCCTGTTTCACTGCTGGTGACATCAGGTTTTTACCTGAGTGAAATAAACCAGACAAAGACCTCTGTTCTGCTCAGTGTTTAGTATCTACCGTGATGATGTGTCTCCCAATTCACGTATTATTATTTTGATATGAAATAATAATACATAATGATACATGTTTGTATCTGCGTATATATATATATATATATATATATATATGCATATATATATATATATATATATATATATA